ATAAATTCAATCTTGCATTTATATATTAGATTCTCGACAAAATGAAAATGATTTTCAAAATAAGTTCCAAGTAAATTTGAAACTAAAAAAATTAAGACCAAAACAACTTACAAAAACTTGGCGTGCTCGGGTCACATTATAACCCTAAAAAACTACCCTTTTAAAAAAAAGGTAAAAAAAGGTGCTAAGTCTACGTAAAAAACAGTATATGTATTTGCAAAATAGTGTATTATTAACTGTAAAAAACTACTGTATTGTATATCAACAAAAATAATGATATCAAAAAAATTGGGTTAAGTGAAAAAAAACTTATAAAAATACTTTAACCAAAAAAAGTTATACAAAATAGCTGATTTAATTTTCTACATTATATCCTAGAAAAATAATGATATCCAAAAATTACGCTAATTGAAAATAAAAACTTAAAATAATTTAACTAAAAAAAATTGTACAAAATAATTGTTTTAATTTCATACAAATAATATTAAAAAGTTGCGCCAACTGAATAAAAATTTTTACTATAAAATAGACATATTTCTTTTTTATTTTCAATATTGAAAGAAAAATGATATTAAATGAATTGTAATATATCTATTATAAAAAATTGAATTGAAAATATGAACAATCATATACATTGCAATAATCATATGCATATATCCTGAAAAGTTTAATTTAAAAAAAATAGAAAATGATAATACAAAATACAAAATTAAAAATTATTAAAAAATTAAAAATTAGAAATTAATAATATAAAATAAAAATTTATATAAAAATTAAAAATTAATACATATAAAAAAATTTTAGTTAAAAAACTTAGCGCTGCTAATTTCATTAGCACATTGTTCAGAGTAGCAGCGCTAATTGTAAATATCAATTACATATTTTTTCTTCGGAATAATTGTGTTTTTTTTTTGCACCAATTGATTCCTCTCATTATTTTGTACATAAAAGTATTAAGGTAAGATAATCTCGAGAAATAAATATTTTACTTGTTAACAACTTTGTACGCTTGCGCATTGGGGACTTGAGCGTTGACCAAGGAGACGTTTCTTAATATGCTCTTATTGCTGTTCACGATGCACATAGAGCAAAAAGAAAGACACTTTTCTGATATAAATCAAGCTCAAGCTATCAATTAAGCCTAGTAAGAACTCGATTCGTTCAGCGATTATTTCAATATGATAATCTCAAATATCTCCAACTATCCGACTCGCGTAAATATACACGGAGTGTATGTCTTGTTGCTTATGCGGGACTTAGCACAAGACACTACCGTGTCTCTTGACATCGGTAAAGTCATTGTCAGAATGCACTGCGACACATAAGTACACAAGCTTATCTCGTAGCTGATGTAACATCTGCGATATTCAGCAATATATTTTTCTCTAGCAAGCCTACCATATCAAATATCGTACATTTTACATCAGCTGCTACAAGGTAAGCTTCTGTGTCACGGTGTATTTCAACAATTACAAAAAAAAGAAATATAAATATATATATACACTTTTAAAATATATACACATATATATATATATATATATATATATATATATACTTTTTTATATAATAAAATGCAACAATTTTTTATAAATATATATGGTAGATTTAAAAATATAATATTAAATATGTATTATTTAATATAATATTGTTTTTTAATGTCATACAGCGTATATGAAACATTCTTACTTATTCATAATTAGATGTTTCAGATGTAGCAAAGTTAAACATGACATTTCGAAATCGATAAGATGAAAACGTCTGCAAAAGGTTAATTATGCAATTTTTTCTAGTTGCTACTAGTTCTACAAGTTCTACAAGTTTTGAATATGATTATTTCTCTTCTCTGACATTGAATAAGTAATCATTAGTGTAATATTATTGATTATAAATCACTTTACCAAGAGAATTTATTCCTACCTACAAATTATTATCATATTAAATACTCTATATCTTATATTGAACCACATTAATCGGCTTTGCCAAAAAACTTCTAATTAAAAATTTTTTACAGAATAAATCAAAATTATATACAGAGATGCTATATCTGTGGAAAAATAATAATAGCAATAAATACAAATGAATTGGAAGAAGAAATAAAATTAAGATAGGTTCAAGTCCGAAAACGCAATTGATTTAAACGATTTCAATTATAGCATATAATATATTGTGTTCTTATGTATATAAAAATATTTTGAGGTTACGTGAGAAATAACCAAAAATAATGCTTAAATAATTGGTCTATATAAAGAAATTGATTAAAATAGAAATCACAGAAAATTTTTATTCAGTCTCCCTATAAAATCATGTAGTAGAAAATAAGTGTTACATATAACAATTAATTACATGAAAATTTCACAATGCAAAAAGAGGAAGAAAAATAAAAAGTGACCAACGAAATAAAATTTTTTTAAATATATTATTTTTTTAAATATATTATTTTTTTATATACTAATTTTTTTTCCAAAATAATCTGTAATTTCACATTAAATGACAAAAACATATTATTTATTCAACACAAAATATTATATATTTCTGTCTTTTTTTCATTATATTTATAACAGTGTTTCTAACCTGTTTCCAATCGATAGTTTTAATGTCAGTTTTTTTGCCACTTAGATAACGTATCATCGATTAGAATAGAAAAAAGAAGACGTAGCATAAAGAATACGTTCAATATAAATTCCGTAATTTGCACTGAGGACAGTAGTTTTCGATTGTGCTGTGCTCACTTCATATCGGAAATAAGTGTCATCGCGGAACTCATCTATTGTGCTAGTTGGATAAATATTAATACTGTATGTATTGAAGAATTTTATTTTTTAAGAAGTATTTGATATTGATTGATTTGACAATATAAATATATATATAACACAGATTTCTACATATTATATCTAGACCGCTAACAAACAGCTATGACTCATACGAAATATAGAACATGACCATTTACAATTGGTCAAATTGTTATCAAATATCGCAGAATTCGATATGACATGTCACTTGATAAAATCAAATAAGATATGATATTAAAAACATGTTCATTTAAAACACTTTAAAGTAAAAATAAAGTAATAAATAACATTTAAAAAACAGCAATTTCGATTATATTTAACATAATACAAATTATCTTGAAATTTTTTAAATCACATAAATAAATAAATTTCTCCTTCATCCTCCGTATATTAAATATCAAAAATAGAAAAGCAAATTCTTATTTATACTAATTATTTGAAATGTTTAAATAAAGAAAACATTTTGGCATAAATATTTTGCAAGTAAAATGAAAATGTGCATTAGATTAAACACTGTTCTAATAAAATTTTAAAATTTTTATGAATGATAAAATCAAAATATAGAAAAAAAATAAAAGAGAGAGAATACAAACTAAAAATTTAAATTTCATTTATAATTATTTAGAAACAATAAAAAAAAGTAAAATAGTCATTATAATTAAAACTTATCAAGCGAACAATTGTTTTCTGTTTTATATCTATCTTAATTTCATTCTTTGTAACAATTAGTCCAATAATTTATTATGAGCTTCAATTATAGTACTAATCAGTTTTTTTATACAAACTTTTAGTTTAAGCTCTTCTTCTATAAATAAAACATATCTAACATTTAAAAAATATTTTTATTAAAACTAAATTTCTTGCGTACACATAAACATGGATTTATTTATTTTATTACTTTTCAAATATTTCATGATAAACACTCACATTTACTCACATTTTTAAAAATAAAACGATTAATATTAACAAACAATATTCATAACGATTTTAAGATGCTCTCTATTTTAACAATAAGTGCAAAATTCATCAATTTAAACCTAAAACAAAATTTTACAAAGTTTCTGAAATAAAATAATACAAGAATGTATACGCCTTTAGTCGTGCATTTGCACGCAGTGATGCTTTAATGCGTCATAGAGCTAATAATATAAAAACATCATATGTATCTAACAATAAATATGTATCTAAGAGCAAGAAATCTAATACAAGCTTATCTAATCTGTCGAGCGCACATAATTCTAAAGAACATGCAGCTAAATTGCTTCACTCCTGATTTTGCACATTCGTATGAAGCAGTTTTTTCTTATTTAAATATGTTTAAAACCTTCCAATGCCATAAACAATGATATATTGCTGCAAGCAGACCTAACCTTTGTCATATTAGATAACATATGTACGATATAAATCACTAAATCATGAAATAGCAACATACGCATCAAACTTACAAGATAACTGGCTGTGATCAGAATTTCAATGAATAAACATACTTAAAGAAATTATGATTGATAATAATATCATTGGAAATAATATCATTAATCAAGCAAAAACAGAGATACGAAACAGTGATCAAGGAAAAATGGAAATATAAAAACAATTGTTAAATAATTATACATATTATTTATTAAAGATCCAAAGAGCAAATGATTAAAATATTCAAGGATTAAACAAGAGAAAAAAATAATAAATATCGATTTTAATTGATTTTTAAATGATGATTAATTTGTTTAATATATATTATTACATATTATGTAACTTGCATAATTCTTTTCATTATAATCATATCTCTTTCTATGATTTAGTGAAAATTTCCTCTTATCTTTTCATTTCTTTTCTCCGAAACTATCCGTGATCGACCTATTCGTTACCCTTCTCTGGCATTATAAATACATTTTTCTATGCAATTTCTATTAGCATAGTTTTTACATAATTGCACACGATACTATAACCAAACCGATGCACGCGATAGTAATTTTACATGGGAATAAATTGCACTAGTACGTATATAGTGAAATGATAGGTAGATGAAGCCAAACGAGACAGCAAAAGGAAAAAAAGAAAAAATAGGAAGTATAAAAAAATAACAATAAGTAACAATAAAACAATTCATCGGACATCACAGCAACATAAGATGCTTTTGCCTGTCTTCTGCATCTTTTTCCATAATGTTCAATAATTAAAATTTATATTATTTATATTATTTATATCATTAATTAAAATTAATGAAATTTCTTTTGCAACTCTTCTTCCAATCAGAATAAAGAATTAGATAAAGAAGCAATTTTTAAAGTACATTTAAATTAAACATAGATTGTTCAAAATCAAACGAAATATCCGATCGCCAATTAACGCGAATAATTATTCGCGCAGTAGATTTCGCGTGTAGTAGATAGCGCCCGCTCCGAGACCGCGCGGAACGCTTCGCTGCGAATTCGAATCTCAGCCGACTCGGAAAAATAACAAACACGAGCGACCGCTCACTTTCGAAAAAATTCTCTGCTTTCTTTGATTCAACTCAAAACTAATTTTTCATCGTTCGAGAATCTTCTCGAAGGACGGTATAAAACCACGCACTCGATGCCGTGTCCATCACTTCAAGTTTTCCGCCAGTCTAAAACCGCGCTGTACGAGAAACAACGAGTAATAGATTTTTGCTTTTTTCGATTTTAATAGTCTTCATCGCACTGAATCGACTATTCTCGGTACTTGCAAGGCAGTGGCCTGCTTGCATAGCATTTGTTCGCCGCTTTCCTTCTTTTGCAAATTACATTTTTTTTGTACTCTTTTGTGTGTGGAGCAAAAATAGTCAAGTAATTCTTTGTCTTCTCTTCCACCTTTTGATTAAACTACCCGGATCACAGGTATATATTCGTACATAGATATAGCAACCTTATAATTAATATTAACCTATCAATAATCTATAATTGTAAAATAATATAAATATTTTATTCTCTTTTCAACATATGAATATGTACATATACATTATTTTGCCTTAAATGTAACTATACAATTAATAATAATATCTATATGCATCGATTCAATTATTAAATTGATGCACGTATTTCTAATTGCAAAAATATCTTTAATTCAATTTTTAATTCATTTCGTTTTACCTCATTAAATGAAAAAAAAAATTCGAGTCAGCAACATATTCAATGAGTCATGATTTTTAGTATAATTTTAAGTATAATCGAGAAGCGACTGCCACGTACAGTTAAAACGAACAATTAAACAGTGCGTATGTATGGATGTAAATTAATATTAATTATTAACATAATTCTTTAATTCATATTAGTTGTATTGTTTTTAAAGTTATATGTTAAAAATAATTATCTTCATTAATATTAACATTTCGATAAAGATGAAAATAATATATTCATAATTATTATACATATGGATAACATATTTAATAATTTTAGATTGCGCCTCTTTAATTTTGTGAAGGACAATAAACACCACCATAAAGATGATTAAATTAGAAATGCCTTCATTTAAAGAAATATTAAAAGATACTGGAGGAAACGAACAACTTCTAGAAGAGCTACTGATTAAACTTCGACTATGGTTGAAGCAGCAAATTCATCTTCCTGAAGGTTTGCATTTTTAAATTTAAAGAAAAAAAAGTAAGATCTTATTAGTCAATTTATTACATATCATCTTCAAATCTAAAGAGCATATTTCGTAAATGTACTGATAAAAATATAATTAAAATATATATACACATAATTTATATAAAAGGAGAAATTATGCGCGAAGAATTAGTTGATCAGAAATCAAATATTAAATATTTAAGAAACAATATTTTCTCTCTTAGTTTATTATAATAAATATATATTATATGTTATGAATCGTCGCCTATCTCCTGAATAATAACCGACTAACAATTCAACATACAAGATCATTATAGAATATAAAATGGCAACTATTTTAAAATTAATATTAATATGCACATTTATATTTATGTTACGAATATATATTTTACTGTATGTAATATAAAAAAAATATTAATTTTTATTATATTTAGTATACGTATATAACTTTTGTGCGCATAATTTCCACAAAGTGGATTATTTTATTGCTTTTCCAAATCGCATAGCTACGTGTTTAATTATTAATAATTCACAAAATTAATATGTTACATATTTGTAATATATATTGACAAATATAATAGGATTCCAACCTATTTGTTTATATTTATTTATGATTTCTTTCATTCATGAAATCTTATGCATATCGTATGTAATAATCAACATTATTTTATACTTCACAGATATCTCTGAAAAACGATTAAAGTTCTACATTTACAGTGCAAAATTTAATTTAGAAAAAGTTAAGAAACGCTTGGATTTGCATTATACTCTTAGTAATCTAATTCCGGAGGTTTTCACAACTCGTGACCCATTGGCCGACTGTGTGTTTAAAGTAAATACATATATGTAAGTCTTTAAATAACACTTCGAAGTTGTCGGATTCTTACATAATATATTAATATTTAAAAATTTTTTTAAATCATAAAAACATTTTATATCACTAGAAGTATTAATGGCAATTTTATATAATAGTATAATATAATGATATACACACAAGTATAATTATACGTAATTATTATACATAGTTAATTTTTTGCTCAATCATTTAAGATCGATTATTTTTGATTCAAGAAAAAAAAGAAGAGAAAAAAGGAAAACTCATAGAGGTATTGTTACAAATATTTCTTTATTTCTTTCAGACAATTTGTAACCCTACCAATATTAACACCAGAAATTATAGAATAACTATAATGCGGTGGTTACATTCCGACAGTTCTGTATTTGATCTATATGATTTTATGAAGTACGTATATCTACAAGTTAAACGTAATATACATAATATGTGCAAACAAAACAGTATTATACGTGCACAGTACAACAAACAAACAAACAATATTAATGCAACAGGAAATTTTTTAATTTTATAAAAAAATATTTTATATAAATACTTTTTTATACTTATTTCTCTTGCCGCGTATGCGAGCATGAATATATTATATATTCTTATATTTTTTTAAATTTATGAATTATCGAATCTTATCATGCATTTCCACGATCGTACATAACTATGAAAGAATTTATGCGCAAGTCACGAGATGTTGTAAAAGCACATTCAAAAAACGCTATATTTAAGATAATATAATGATATAATATTATAAAAAGATATATAAATTAAAAGAGAGGACACGCACGGATATAAAACACAATAATTAACAACGATGGAAAGAAGAAGAAAGAAAAAAAGAAATTGAGCTGTATGCAACATTTTTACAAGCTTTTTATATTATGATTCACGCGATGCTCTTATTTACTGATGAAATTATTATGTAACATTATTAGGTAAAGCGATTTTGATTTCACATGGTCGCGCTATCCAGCTGATCCAATCACAATGGATCGATTTTTCGCTTTATTCTGCACGATCTGTAAAATCTTTCTTCTCCTCTCTCTCCCCCCCCTCATTCTTTCTTTGCCCCCTCCCTCTCTCACTCTCTCTCTCTCTCTCTCTCTCTTTGCGTAAGTTAAATATGCAAGTCCTTTTCTCTTGTGCTTGCTATTATCGATAATGAGATAGAAACAAGATACTTTCACGCCCTACTTTTTCCTCTAATCTACTACGATTCCACTACCCTCAACAGTACACATCGAAAGGAAAAGCTAAAATCAATAACTTCGATAAAATGAGATAAAAAAGGAAATACAGGAAAAATTGTTGGCCTTTTTTTCGTGCGGATTCTTGTACAACATCTCGAGATTAGATAATTTTATATCTTTTATTAAATGAAGCAACTCGGCAACAAATTATTTAATTATTTAAAGATAATATTATTTAATAATTTGATGGATGATAAGTGATTTGTTATTAATATATATATATATATATATATATAATAAATATACACCTATATACCTACATACATATACACATATACCCAAAATATAAATATTATACAAATTTTTATTCATCTTTGTAAAAATATCAAGATAAAATCAATAAAAAATATATTTTTTTAAATATTACAGATATTTCTCCATGATAATGGAACACGTATAGAAGAAGATATTGTTAATTCCGATGTTATAATTTTACGATTGTACCATTTCACTTCGGTCCATGTTATTGAAGTATACACCAGTTGCAGTAAAAAAACTCGACATCTTTTGGTATTTAACAACAAAAATCTTATATGTATTGCATTATACTATATAATAACATATAACTTACATACAATTACTTAATACATTATAATTCATTTCTTTACAAAATTAATTTTTATTATTCAATCTTCAATAGGAATATCCGCGTTCAAGAATCGTAAAGCAATATATGATAAATACACCAAGTTTTTTTGATGTCTTATTGACAGTAGTTAAATCAGTAATGAAGGCAAAACTTATTAACACGAGTATGTTAACCGAATATAATTTAAAACTAGAAACTTTGTATTTCATGTGTATATGGATTGGAATAATTATACAGTTTTAACTGCAATTAATATTTTAGATACATCTTTATACTCCGGAATAGAATCAATATATGGATTATACCAAGATCTCTTTACCAGTAGAATATGGTGGTGAACAACCGTTCACTACTATTTTATCAGGTACAATATCTTTTACTTCTTTAAAAATATGTTTTTTTTATCAGTGACTTTATTTCGATTTTAAATATTTAAAACGAAA